TTATCAGTATGCTGACAACACCCAAATCTATTTCTCCGTGTCTCATTCATTGGCCTCAAATTCTAGTGGCATCTCCTCTCTCAATGAATATCTTCGAGTGGTAATGAGCTGGATGAGAAAAAACAGATTGAAGTTGAATCCAGACAAGACAGAGGTGTTCATGGTAGCGGCCCCGAAACCAAGAATTGGTTTGCAATTTCCAGTCCTGGATAGGGTCACACTCCCCCCCAGTGACTGTGTTCGCAGTCTGGGGGTGCTCCTTGACTCGTCGCTCCTGATGACAAATCAGGTGAATGCGACAGTCAGGAGCGCCTGTTATCAGCTTCTGCTGATACACCAGCTGCGCCCTTTTCTGGAAGTAAGGGATTTCAAGACTGTTGTGCACGTGCTGGTAACCTCACACCTTGACTTCTGTAATGTGCTCTACATGGGGCTACCCTTGTGCTTGGTTTGGAAATTACAGCTGGTTCAAAATATGGCGCTAGGCTTGTGTCGGGAACATCTAGGAGGGACCACATTACTCCAGTTTTGAGGTCCCTCCACTGGCTGCCTATCAGCTTCTGGGCCCAGTACAAGGTGTTGGTTATCACCTTTAAAGCCCTAAATGGCTTGGGTCCAAGCTATCTTAGGGATCGCCCCCCTCCCATACAATCCCCCCTGCACTCTCCGGTCCTCTGGGAGGAACCTGCTGCAGCCTCAAAAATTGAGGCTTGCGGCTACCTCCCAGAGGGCTTTTTCAGTTGTCGCTCCCAAGCTCTGGAATGGCCTGTCAGATGAGATCCATCAGTTAACATCATTAGACGGCTTTAAAAGAGCTGTCAAGATGGATCTCTTCCGGCAGGCCTTTCCAGATTAATTGTCCCAACCTCAGGTTCCCTCACCATGGCAATCTTCGCGTGGCCCCATCTCGATGGATGAAGATCATTGCTGCTGGTCAAGCCATGCCTTGTTATATCTCTTTTTAAATGTGTTTTTAAATTTTATATTGTTGGAATTACTGTTTTAATCCCTTTTGATTTAATGCTGTTTTAAGGGGGGAGGGATTGTTTTGGATATTATGTATCTTTTTAACTGTTGTAAGCTGCCCTGATTGGGTTCCCAAAAGGTGGGATAAAAATAATAATTATTATTGTTATTATTGTTATGATATAATTCTTGTAATAAGTGAATGAATGTATTTTAAGAAAATAAAATAAATAAGAATCACTGGCAAGAACATGCCCTGCATTATGGGGGATATTCTTGCCTGCTTCTCCTAGGAAAGGCTTTAGAAGGCTCCTCCAATGTGAAGCAGGACAGGCTGCTGAGTGCATATTGTTTATCTGAAGTGCAAACTTGATAAATTGCCTATGATAATTTATTTATTTATTTTACCTAACTTTGGGGCTGAACAGACAGCCCCTAAGGGGCAGCATCCAGCAACCCTTTTCCTTGCCAGATCAGGACCACGGCAACCACATGCTGTGGCCCTGATCTGGTGCTCTGCCGCTCTAACAAGAGCTGAAAAATGCCACTCCATTTTTAGAGTGGCAAAAAGCTGCTTTTGTCACCATGGTGGCAGCTTTGCAGTGCTCCTTTGCGGTGCTCCAAGGGAGTGCTCTGATGCCACCCGCTGTCTAGTTGGGTGGGTGGTGTGACAGTGACATCTGGGCAAAGTCGGGGAGGACGGCATGTAGTTGCCATGTCCCCACTCCATCCCCAGGCTGGTCCTTTTGGCTGGTCTGTACAGCCCCTTTGTGTACTTGATTTCTAGTTCTAGTGCATATAAAGCCCTAATATCTTGCTGCTATTCCCACCTTCCAGAACCTGTAGCATCCACTTCATTCTGCCCAAGGGAAGGGCAAGCCCTGATTTGCTTACAAATGATACAAAGGCCACAAAACAGATAGTACAACTACTTGCAGTTGACCTGCAGGGTTCCCTCCCCACTTGGGGGCTATGCAGATGGGCAGTTCTGGGCCACCCCTGTTAGCTGCAAATTGAGGCTGTGACAACCGTGTGCCGTAGCCTTGATCCTTCCTTTTGCTGACCCTGAAAGGGGCAGCTAAAGGATGCCCTAAGAGCCGGCAGGCAGCTCTTTAGCACCCTTTCCAGTCCAACACATAAAAACACTGTGCTGGAAGGACATCCTTATGCTGCATACCATGCGTAATGGTGTGTGGTGTCAGGACATCATCAGGCTGGGGTTCGGGTGGCCAGCGTGTAGCTGCCCCTCCCCATCTCTGCCTCCAGGCTGGCCCTTTGGGCTGGTCTGCAGAGGCCCTTGGTTTATTCTTAAACCATCTTCTATTTCCATCACACCTGTGCAAAGCCGTGCTTTTGCTAATGCAGTTTACAATGTCATGAAGGCTCTTAGAAATAAAAGGAACAAAAGGGCCTATGATAAGAATTTCCTGTTCAAAGACAAACACTTCAGCCCTTGTGAAAAGGTATCGTAAAGTCTTAATTATCATGTTTAATTTTTTTGACAGAAAGTTTGATTTGATTTGTAGTTGTTAACTTGTCTCTACATAGTCACCATCCAGATTTACACATTTTCTCCAGCGTTTCTTGACCCTTCAAATAATGTTATTTTAGAAGTCTGCAGATTGCGCCTTAAACCACTCTTCCACTTCATTAATGATGTCATCTGTGTTGTCAATTTGGTGAACCTGCAATGAATTTTTCATGTTTGTGAAAAGAAAGTCACTTGGTGATGACAACACTGACAAAATTTTATCAATATACCATAATAACTTCTGGGTGATAATTATTATTTTATGATACCCCCTCGTAAAGTCAGTAGCAGTGGTCTGTAGGAAATAAATTCTGGTCAGAATTACTGCATGTTTCTTCTTAATTGTTAATTCTTCATTATTGCCTTTGTTGCCTAGATAAATTATCTGGAGTTATCATTGGAGATGCCTGGATTCTATGACAAGATAACTATATCAGTCTAAAATTAATATTTCCTAGGAATTCAAAGTATCCTAGGAATTAAACCTATCCCATGTTTAAAACTGGGTGTGATTATTAGATGAATTGGCCTAAATTTTATTTTTAACAGACCATCATCATCAGCTCAAATTTCACAATCTAATGAATTTTGGACCATCAATTTTAGATTCTGATTCTACCCAAGAATCTAGCAATCATCAGGTTTATTCCTAATGATGATGCCAATGATGATGATGATCTTTATTTATAACCTGCCTTTCCCCCAAAACTTGAATTCAAAGTAGTTTACAATGATTACAATAAATTTACAAAATATAAAAATATAAAAGGCCAACATTAAAATATAATTAAATTACAGTCACCCATCTGTTTTCATGGACTTGGAGTCCATGTCCCTCACCTGATCATGGGCAGCAAATGAAGGGGGACAAAATGGGGTGCACACCCATGGGCGCACATTGCCATTCATGCCAATGGGGCCTGAATATTGGTGATTTTCTGTTTTTGCATGTTTTTTTCCCCCAGAACAGATCCCCCATGAAAATAGAGGGGCAGCTGTATTAACAATGTTGTTGTTATTGTTGTTGTGTGCCTTTAAGTCATTTCTGACTTACTGTGACCCTAAGGTAAACCTATCATGGGGTTTTCTTGGCAAGACTCATTCAGAGGAGGTTTGCCATTGCCTTCCCCTGAGGCTAAGAGCATGTGACTTGCCCAAGATCACCCAGTGAGTTTCATGGCAAAGCTGGGAACCGAATCCTGGTTTCCAGAGTTGTAGTCCAACACTCAAACTATTATGCCATGCTGGCTCATTAATATGTTTTTAAATTGTATTAACAATATTAAAACAATTTAAAATTTAAACTGAAAGAAGATAAAAAGGAATTTTAAAAAGTACAGTTTAAAATGATATGACCTACTGTTAAAAGTTCTTTTCTTAATAATCTTCAGTTCTAAAAGCCTGTCAGAATAATAAAAAAGGTCTTTGCCTGACAATGAAAGGACAACAAGGAGAGGGACACTTTAGCCTCCCAATGAAGGAAGTTCCAGAACCTAGAAGCAACCACTAAGAAGGCTGTGTGTATTCCACAATACCTCTGAGGATGGTAAAACTGAAAGGCCTTTGTTGAGGATCTCAGGGGCCAAGCAGGCTCATATGAGGAGATACATTATGTCTGATCTACAGGACCTAAGCCATATACAGCTTAATGGGTCATATGTTATATGTCATAGCTATCTTTTGGTATCCCTACAGTTTTCCCCTAACCCTATTTGGTAAGGCATTATCAAAAATAGTGTTGAGTATATGCACATATTCTTAGTGAATTAATTATAGCTACTTTAGTGAGAGAGCCAGTGTGGCATAGTGGTTTGAGTGGTAGACTACAACTCTGGAGACCAGGGTTCAATTCCCTGCTCAGGAAGTCACATGCCCTCAGCCTCAGGGGAAGGCAATGGCAAGCCTCTTCTGAAAAATCTTGCCAAGAAAACCTCATGATAGGGTCACTATACGCCTTAGAGTCACTATAAGTTGGAAATTACTTAAAGCCACACAACAAACTTCAGAAGCCACTGATATATTTTGTGGGTGTGAGGTGAGTAAGCAGTGTATTGGGGTCATAAAACAGCACCAGATATATACATCTCATCCTCAGAGGATGATAATGAGAAACTTGCCAAGAAAACCCTATGTTAGGTTTGCCTTATTTTCATCATAAGACTTGAAGACATACAACAACAACAATAACAACAACAACAAAGAAATACTACCAAGTTCAATAAATTGTTAACTATTTAATTTCCTGTTGTGTTTTTACTGCCAGGAGAGGTGCTTATGGGATGTCTCAGAATAATTTAGCTGATTTTGAATACTTGACTCATGTAGGTTGAGTATCATTTGCAAAATGTCTTAGACAAGCACTGAATACAACGCTTTTAACTCCAGGTGGATTGGTAGGTTGGAGCCTGTTTAGTATGATTAACCATAGTTGTTGATTTCATTTCAAGGTTGTTCTCTGACTTTGTAATGAATAGTTTTAGTTTCTTACTCAGTCATATAGATCATTCCTCCTGAGGTTAGATCTGTGTCATGGTATATAAAATGTTGTGGGTTTTTTTCCCCTTCAGAAGAACACAAATCAGTAAACATATTACTTCAGGGTACCCATCTGTGATCATAATCCAGAATGACTGATGATTTCTACCATGTGGATTTATTCTTGGTTTGCAAGCAAAACTTCCTAGTTCAGGAGGAATTTAAGAAACAAAACCCAGCTACTTATCTCTTTGATATAATCTCATGAGAAACTTACTGCCATCATTTCATTTGTTACTTTTCCTTGTTAACAGGAGCATGTGTTAGATATGATGTGCAAGAAGCAATGAACTAAAGGGCTCAGAGACATATGTAAAACAGAAAATTGAAAGTGGTAATATGAAAGGTTATTCTGAGTAAGCTAAATGACTGAAGATTTGGTGAACACTACAGTCTCAATAGATGTTAGTGGTGTGACTGGGCATTCCCTTAGAGAATACTTGAACAAATGAAAACCCATAAGCCATTCATGAACAATGTTAGAACCAATTACAGATCTCAATTTTACACTGCTTCTCAACCAAAGCACTTTTCATCACTTGTGCACCTGGACTTTTCAGTATTTCTTAATGCTAATTAGACCTCAAGAGATATATATCTTTTTGTTAAGGAACATTTTCAGATACTAGTGCAGAAATTATTTTGGTGACAAGAGGTAATATTTGAACTCATATTTCTGGAATGGTAGCTGTCAGAGCATTATAATTTTGTAGACTGCTCCAACAATGCTTGATCTGGAAAATAAAGCATAAAGATGTTCAATACAACATATACATTGAAAATGTGCTAGTTTAGCTTGAAATCAAATCGAATATATATATATTTTTAAAAAATCTTTATACCATTTCCATTTCCCTATCTAAACTGCTAAAGCAGTAACTCTAAAACTTCTATGGTCCCCACATGGCACAGAATACTCTGGGAGACCCTGGAGTATTCTGGTCCTGGAGCTGTCCTCCTGTTACCTGGCACTCTGGAGTGATGATGTGTGGCTGTTCACACACACATCCCATTGTGCCACCCACTGCCATGAGGCTGAAAATGAGGAACCCAGCATTGATAACATGGCTAGGCCTTGTTCTGACCTCAGAGGAAGTGAGCAGTGGATGACACAGTGGGACAAATTGTAAATATCTCCCCCTTTGTTGTTCTGGAAGGTTCCAGAAGAAATGGAGCAAAAGGTGACTTTAAATGATTGGTTTAAGGGGGCTATACCATGGATTCAGTGCTACTTGCACCGGACAGCTTACCACACACCACAAATGGGGATTGGGCCCTGCCTCATCTGGACTATTTGCCATGAGTATGGGGGGAGGATGTGGTATTTGGCCACATGTGGACACAAACTAAGAGGACCCAGCTTACAGAACTGATCTATCTATTGTTCCTGAGGCTTAAAAATCATAGAGATCATTGCTCTTTGATTGTGTTTGAGACCTTTCCTCAGTAGTATCATTATGTGGAACATGTAACATATACCGGGTCATGATCCACACTGAGAATTGCTGCCATAGTTAATGTTATAGAAAGGCAGAAGGTGGTAATTAGGGATGGGTGAGAATTTTGCTTCAGTGCATTTTAATAAGAATTTATCACAGCTCACCAAGTCTTTCACATTCAGGCTGAAGGACATTGGACATAGCAGATGTATATAGGATTTCAGTGTTAGCAGTGTGTGCTTTGTTATTTGCAGCAATATGCTTATCTCCAAGTTTAATTTCCACTCTTTGTGGGAAAACTGAATCTGCATTTTATTGGCACTGCCACTGCTCACCAGGCTATAAAATACTAAAAATGAGAGGATGAATCCTACTCTGAGGCAGGGCCTAAGCAGACTGCCAGAAATAGTGCACATTAAATTGAGGCACTGCCCTGGCTCAGTACTAGGGAATCATGGGAACTGTAATTTATTGTGGCACCAGAGCTCTCTGACAGAGAAGGCTCAATGTCTCAGAAAAAAATACAATTCCCATGACTCCCTAGCACTGAGGCAGGGCAGTGCCTCAATTTAATGTGCACTATTTCTGGCAGTCTGCTTAGGCCGGCAGTTGCCTCAGTCAGAAATTATGTGATTTAAAAGAAAAAGCAGCAAATTATTAGTTAGTTTATTTATTTTTTTATTTCTACTGCCAGGAGAGGAAGAGGGAGTTGTGGGATTTGCTCTCTCATGTCAACAAAACTTGGCTAGCTTTGCCTATTAAGTTATGTTGTCTTGGGTGGATGGGCCTCCCTTCCTGCTCAGACAGCAAAATGACTTCAGCTTCTGGAGACTGATGATACATAAATTGAAAAAAATGAGATTGTGTACATCATGTCACCTGTGTCTGCATGCATCATAAATACTGAAATAGGGAATTGTCATTCAACACTCAAAATAGGAAATTGTTTATTTCTTCCACAAATGTATGTGTTCCAGTAGATTCAAGAAAAAGCAGATGCCCCTGTTGAATTTGAATCTGATGTGAAATGCAGCAGAGCTCAGGAATCAGCTTCCTTCATCAGCCTCTCCCATGCTAATTGCACAAAGACACATTTTGTAGATCTAAAGTAAAGCTTTATTGTTCCATGAAGCAAACAAGAAAACAAAATACACAGTCCATCTTGCTGATGGTAAAACACTATAGGAGCACATCTTGCTGATGTTGTTGTAGAAAAACAGCAATAGAAAAAATTACAGATCCATGTTTACAGATCCAGGTTTAGGTGAGTTGAGTTGCTGATACACACAAACACATTGTATGCATATATAAACAAGGAGAACAAAGAAAATTCTTGGCCCTTCCCATACTCCACCTTTTGGGTGTTAACCTTATAATGACTGGATGATGTACTTTAACCCAGCCTCTAGCTGTATGTCATCCTCCCATGTGACTTCCTTCCCATGAGCTCATATTTTTATGTGTTATCTATCTGTTCCCAGGCTCAAACATATTTTTGTTATTCTGCCCTGTGAGCACGTTTTGACTTTAAACCACCTGCTGGCCGAGCCCTCTTTGTTTTCAGTAGACACTGTTCCCATAGGAAATTTTCACACACACACATCTCTACATTTCTACTTTGACTGTATATCCCATCCATATTTCAACAGCCCCTCTCTGTTGCAGGGGAGATACCTGAATTTCTACTTCACAAAGTTGAATACAGCAAAGCAAACAAAGAAACAAACAACACCTACATGCCATTCAGAGCACCAAGAATCAAACCTTTAATTGTGTGTTTCATTTCCACTTGGAATCTACAAACTGCATCCAGCTTTTCCATATTTAATGGTTTTCATATTTCTGGACAGTGAATAATAGTAATGAACATTATTTCCTTTACACATCATAGTTTGCTGACTCATCTATTAAGGATTTTAAAATGACCTCTATTAAACTGGGTCCACATTTACAACATCCTTAACTGGGCAAGTTGATTTTTATTTCAGAAATGACTGTGAAAAAAAAATATTAAGGCATGTCTTTTAATTCACTTATGCTGAAAAATAGTTTGCTGTAGATTAATCTTTGAGCAACAAGTGAAGCAGAAAAGTCTTGCTATAAAGACATTTTCCTTTTGAAAGGCTTCCTACTCAGACAGCTTTGATAAGATTTTTTTTTAATACTTGGCTGCAAGACTATGCTCTCATTTGGATGGCATGTAGAACAAATATATAGTATTGGTTTGAACTTTCAACAGAGTAACTATCAAATTGTGAAGACACAATCACAAATGGAAAGCTGTTTTTACATTGAATCAATTCACTGGTCTCTCTGGCATATTATATGTTCTAACAGCTAGTAGATCTTCAGGGTTTTGGACAGGAGTCTTTTTCAGAATCACCTGGATATGCCAGACATCAAACCGGATGTTTTTGCACAGCAAAGTGCATGTTCTACCACTATGTTACAACACCTCCTATAGAAGAGTGGAAGAATTTGTTGTTGTTAACTGTCTTCACATCAATTTCAACTCATGGTGGTCCTATGGATGTGACATCTCCAAGCCCCTAGAACAACTGCTAAGGAAGATCAAAGAAGAAAGTGCAAAGGCAGGCTTACTATTGAACATAAACAAAAACAATAACCACAGAGAACTTACACACATTCAAACTAGACAATGAGGAAATAGAAATTGTAAAACAGTTCTCATATCTGGGATCAAACATTGATTGGAATGGGGACTGCAGTCAGGAAATCAGAACACACTAAGAATGGGGAGGGCGTCTATGAAAGAACTAGAAAAGATCTTAAAATGCAAAGACATACAACTCAGCACAACAATCAGAATCATGCAAGCTATTGTATTCCCTATTACCAAGTATGGATGTGAGAGCTGGACATCAAGAAA